TACACTCCCGATAATTTCTCCACTGAGCGTCAGACTATTGGTTTCGTTGCTCTGATAAGAATCTGTAAGACGAGATTTATACAATATTTACCTATCTTTGTAGGTATAATATTAGTCAKCGCACAACACAAGATAAAATATTTAGATACTTCTAGATACATGCGTCACATGTGATTAGGCACTAGGTGTGTACCTACAGGTAGCTATACTCCTTATTTCTAATCGAGTAATTGATGTTATACATTGGTATATATATATTTATATAATACGAGTACGATGTGTACTTACTGGCTTTACGCCCTGTTTGTAAACAACTGATAGACAGACTATATAGTAGCATCTACGTCCTACGTATTTAATACACAAACTAGTAGATTACATTTTTTTTTTTTTTTGGAGAGTTTTAATTATTTTATCAAAACACCAAACAAAATATATTATATAGTTATTAGGTATATAGTCAACAATTAAAAACCAGTAAACTAGTAGGTAACACACGCAACACGCGCCACGGAAAATATGCGTAGTTAGGTAGGTATTTCTAATAAGAACCCCCTATTCTTGTATTTTATATTATGAAATGGATAATTTTTTTTTGAAATTTGAAATTCTAAAGCTCAAAGTATAATTCCTCAATTTTCTAAATATTTATACTATAACGATAATAGACATAAAAACTGGTTTTACAAAAATATAAAATAGATGTAACATGTAAGTAGGTATCTACCTAATAATGGATCTAGTATTTTTATTACACTTGGACTATTTTTACAAATTATAAAAACCAATAGATTAATAATATTTGCTAATGTTTCCAGAYTGATGTAGCCCTCAATCTTATTCAAAATTAGGTATAATGATAGATAGCATGGATCTATTATCCTTAAATCACAAAGTTAAATTACTCAAAAATTCGTTTAAAAACAGGGTCATCATTTCAGGTTTTTTTCGGGTGTGCGAAGTTTTAAGCAGGCCATTTTGAAATTTCACCAGGCCATATAAAAATAAATATACATACGTATATGTATATTATCCTGCATTCAATTATTTCTATACATTATAGACCGGTTATTACAATTTGATTTTAATCATATAAATAATTGTGCATTCGTGGCTCGTGCATTATTTTAGGCTTCAACAAGGCGCAAGCCAATTGTAACATTCTAAAAGTAAGGGGTACAACCGCACATCCTGACCCCCTCAAATGACGACCCTGTTTAAAAATCAAATTTTTATTTAATATATCAACATTTTCAGTAATTATCCATTAAATTTTCAGTAGAAAAGTAGAGGGTTCTTATTTGAAAAACAGAAATATTTATCTGTACGGAAGACTCCTTAATTAGTAAAAGCGAAGTCTTTAAAATTTGAKAAAATGTTTTTTAAGTATATATAATAATTTATTATATAATATATAGGTATATATATGTATACTCAAAAATTAAGAAAATAAGATTTTAAATAACCGAATTAATGAAAAAAATAGGTGTAGATATGAGCAAGCTCGGTAAATCTCCCTATACATATCAATTTATCATACATTCATATCTATACAGCTATGCGTATTATATAACTTTAATGCTCTAACATATAGGTTCGTAATCTATATTAAATATGGTACAGCTGTAATCTCACTGAATGACAAAGTAATCAAAGGCTCCACGCATGCATATTAAAAAAAAACTTGTATCACAACTCATCTGGAAATATTTTGGCAWAACCGCATAACATATTCGCATGTTTTAATAATATCGAAGGTACACAAAAGTAAGCTATGTGGTGATGGTGAGGGTGACGACAACAATATAAAGAACAATTCGATTCATATATCTATTATCATATTGTTCTGTGCCATATTATACCTGCTATATCCATCATAAGGAATAAGCTTTCTTAAGAAAATGTCTTTGTGGTAAAGCTAATAAATTGTATTATACTCTGATATCTGGTAAGTATTTATACTTTACTTTGTTCTGTAGCCTTCTTCCGTCTAGAAATAAGCTGTCGGCTGCGATGGTTTTTCGCGGTCGGTCATTATTTAATATCCCCTTGGACATTTTGCTCGCTTTGATCGATGATTTAAACATTTGTTTGTTGGATTTGCTTTTCAACTTGACGGGATGACAACTGAAAAAATGTAGATTGCACATTTAAGCATRTTCTAGTAGTTAATAATACATATTAGTATATTACATAAATACATAATACTTTGCACAAATTACTAATGAATAATGATGATATATTGGGTACTAGCTAGTATATAGTA